TATCTAGCTATCTGGGCAGGTCTTGCAGGTAAATTTATTTGTTGAGGCATATTTTATGTGAAGTCTACCTTCGATTTGGGTTTAATATGCAAAACTTTGCAATTTGTTGTTTATGTTAGATTAAGCTTATTTCTTTGTTTGTCTAGACATATCATTTCCTTTTACATAACAAACAATGATTACTATAGGTGATACTTTGATACTGTGATCGTGTGATACTTCAATTTAGATTACTGTGATACTTTGATACTTCGTAAACTTAAGAACAACATCCCACATTTCAAATTCATCTTGGAAAATTTAATAGTAGTATTAATTTTATTCTATTTTATTCGAATCCCTCTATTACTCTCCATTCAACTCCATCTCATCCAACAAAATCAAGTCACCTCAAAATTTCATACACCCACTTAGCTTTGTCAATGATAAAAGAATCACAAATAAATAAAAGACACACAAAATTCAAAACAATTTAGATATTAGTTTAATGATTAAAATTTTTGTTAGTAAAATAAAAATTCATAACTATTTTTTCACTAATATTTAAAAAGACAAATTATTCTTTAAAATTTTAATAAATTTTAGAACTTTGTTTTAATACATTTTTATTGTAAAAACTATTATTAAATATTTATTATTAAATTTATATTTACATAAATGTAAGTTTTAAATTTTTTATTTTTACAACATATTGAATCAATTCTATTTATTTATTATCACTAAAAATATTAATTAATGAAAAAAATATGAAAAAGTATATTTTAAATATAATTATTTTGAAAAATGGAAATAATTTATAACTAATTTTATAAATGGGAAAAAGTCTAAAAGTCTATTGTTAATACAATTGATTTTATAAATCGGAATAAGTTACACATTGTATATATTAATTCACTATAGTATTCATTTTTGACTAAATTAAATAATCTTTTTAATTAAATTCGATTAACATTAAATATTTAATATTCTCTTGGTCAAATATATTAATTTAACAGTTCTTTTTATTTCTCAATTTAACAACCGTAGATTGTTCATCGTAATGAATGAAATTATAAAATTTTCAAAATACAACAAACCTATATGAAATTTGTCAAAATACAATTATAAAGTCTATTGTTTATGATCTTTAAGCAAAGTATTTTTAATTATTTATAAAATTACATACCAAAAAATACAATTATCAACATCGTGGTTTATTGTTTAAAATATAATTTTTGGTTTTTTTACTTATATTTTTATTTATAAAATTTTATAATAAATTTATATATGATTTTTTTTAAAGATTGATATTGAATATTATGTTATAAGTTTGATTTTAATGTTCATGTTAAATTTGCATGAGTATATTTATATAGTTTATTAAATTTGACGAGGTACAGTCATACATTTTAGATTTGTAAAATTTATAATATAATATAATAAGATTTTAAAATTGAAATTTAACAAAGAGCTGTCATTAAATGTAGATTGTAAAAAAAATGTAATTATGATATAATAAAAAAGTTTTAAAATTGAAATTTGACGAGAGCTGACATATTTTTGGGTTTAAAAAAATGGACTAATATCTAAAATAAGTTTAATAAATTTTTTGAATTAATTCATTTTGATTCAATTCAGATTTGTTAATTCACATGGATTCATGGATTGACTGATCATTTTAATATATATCTTCTAATTATTTCTTTTGTTGTTGTTTTATATAATTGAAGTTATCAAAATAGTTGTACGATTTATTATAAATACTAATAAATACTTAAAAGTCGGTATATATTATTAGTATATAATTGAAACTACATTAATATTTATGAACTGCAAAATAAGTTATAATATGTTTGATATTCCAAACACATGAATTAAAATTTGATAAATGATTATAACTTATAACTATATTTATGTTATCCAACTGAAAATATGGTGTACTACTTTACCATTTAGGCATTGATAAGTGTAATGTGAATCTAGATAGTACCCGTGCGACAACATGTATTTCTTATTAGTATATTTTAAAATAGTACTCCCTCCGTTTCTTTTTAAGTGTCATTTTAGCATAAAACTCTTCAACCAAGATAGTGGATTATTAGAGTTATTTTTCTTATTATACCCTCATTTATTTTCTCTTTCTAAATAAATTCAATCATACACCATCTCTCTTTTTTCAATAACTAATTAAGAAAATAATTAATTTTATGGAAAATATGAAGTGGAGTTATTGAGAAAGTAGGGATATAATTGACAAATGATAACATTAAACTATAAAAACGACACTTAAATAAAAACAAAAAATTCTTCTAAAACGACACTTAAAAAGGAACCGGGGAAGTATTTATCATAAGGACATTATAATACTTTTATAAAGATGCAACACTTCTCTCTTCTTTATTTCTTCTTTCGTACTCTAAAATCAAACAATATCATAAATCTACTTCATTTCTTATCTTTTTCTCTCTTCCTACATTCTCTCTTATCTATTTATCTTTTCACAACTTCTCTTCTAAACTAAACACACCCTAAGTGATTTAGAAAAAAAAAAAACAAATTCATATTATTAATTGCATATTCTTAGTTGACAACATTCACATAAGATTATTTAAGAATGCCGAATGAGTCGGTGTTCCATTTCCAAAGCAGAGCTTATAGTGTTAACGAATTGGTCCAAGCACCCTTTACAGCTTATTACCGTAATTTCAAAGTCACTGAACTCTCTTCCAACTCATTCTTTGATTTTACATTGCAAAGCAATGAGTTTGATGTGTATGGTAGAAAAAGATTGAGATGGGTTCAAAGAGATTGCCAAAGAGATTGCTACCTATATCAAAGGAATGCCTTTTCAACTTGAACATGCATGTGAAGTGTTTGACGAAATGCCTCAAAAGAATGAAGTTTCATTGGGAAATAGAAGTTCAGGGTCCTCCTCATGCATCTGCTTCATCTTGCGTTCCTCCTCATCTTTCTCTGTAATTTGTCATCAAGTCAATAGCTTTCTTATCATATCCATTCTTGCAAAATGCATCAACTAAAATGATATAACTATAAATATCAGTCAGTATAATAGAGTTTTTCATTTCTTCCAAAATTATTGAAGCTTCATCTACTGCACCTCTTTGACATGATCCATATATGACAGCATTAAAACAATGGCTATTGAGAGGCTAGTTTTTTCAGTGCAAGTCACAAATTAAGTTCAACGCAAAGTTTTTCAAATCCATATATGAAAGCATTAAAAGAAGGTTTAAATACGCTTTTAGTCTCTATAGATATGCGACCCTGGACTTTTGTTCTTTTTAAAATTTTCCTTCGAATGATGGTCCTCCTATAAATTTCTGTCATATTTTTTGATCCTCCTGCAATTTAGCTGCGAATTTGCTACAATTTAGCTACTAATTCAGTCACTAAGTAAAAAACCGTCCCTAATTTATAGCTAAATTGTTAGAGGATAAAAAATATGGACAAATTTTTTTTAAAGGAATCAAAATTGCAGCGTCGCATATTTATAGAGACCCTTAATATATTCTACTCTTAAAACAATGATTGTATAAGTATGGATATCCAGCTTTGGAACAAAGTTTTTCAAATCCTCAAAGAAACACGTCACACCTTCCACTCTATTTGCTTCTACTAAACATTTTAACAAGAAATTATATTAGGTTGAATCCCAACAATCCTAGTACTAACAAACACATAATAAGCATGTCAAAGCATAGAGTTTGAAGAAAAAACTTTCACAAGCATATCAAACACAATAACATACCTTTTCACATGGTGTGGTGAATCAAGTAAAACCGAAAACAACTCGGACGCTTTTCGATTTTCCTCTTTATAGTATCCAAGAATATCTCTAAGCAAAATAAACACTTCCAAATTCATACCAGCCAAAGCATATGTGTGAACGATCATTCTAAAGCAATTGATTAAATGATAAAAACCATGATTTTGAACCTAGCCTTTAAAATTTATTTTCCTAAAACCTCTTAAATTTTAAACCCTAAATTGTAATTCTGAATAATATTTTTGAGAATTCATGATATATTTAACCATTCTAAAATTTAAAAGAGTACTTTAAAATTTTCAAAAGAGTTATGATGTGGATTCTAGAATAGTATTTTAAGCTTTTCAAAAGAGTTATGAGAAAGTATAAAGGTGTCAAAAGATATTGTTCTGAACTGGATCTGCCCTTGGCCCAACTACCAGTGAGGCCCAATCCAAGCATGCCAACCTGTTGCACCGAGCGGTATTTTTCCCGAGCACATCCCGACCACATAGGCCTTGTCGACCAAGACTGCTTCCCGTCGGTTCTTGCAGGGACCATCTCTGACGAGCAGGCGCTCCTCCCGAGCACCTTCCTCGTAGGGCTGACTTCCAACCTCTCCGGATTTCGCGGAGTCTTCGTGGACCCGGAAACATTGCATCCATATCCTCCCGGTCTTGTGGAGGACATCATCCAGGTGGGGGGCCACGTGCGGGTCCCTACTACACACGTAGAACCTGAAAGTCTCTATGTTGGGCCTGTTTGATCAGCCCAATAAAGAGACCTTGGCCCAGCGCTGGGGGCTATAAATACACTCTCCCTTCCGAGAGGGTCAGGTATTCAATTCACATCTCTACTCACACTTGCTTGCTCATTTCGCTTCTTACTTTACTATCAGAGTGTCTTGCAAGTACCTCTCCCATCTCATTCAACTTCTACCCAAACCAACTGTGACGGTCCATTTCTGATCCGGTAAGATCAGATATCTACCTAGCTTTAACAATAATGTTATCTTAAATAAAAAATGCAATACTTGAATTTAAATAATGAAAAACACCTAATTCAAAAAATAAATAAATTATTGGACACAAATTATGAATACAAATGAAAACAAATAATTATTACATGTTCACATGGCCAAAAATAAATAAATAAAAAACTTGGTGAATATCAAAATACATTAGAAACTCATCTTTAACATTCTTTATTGGTAACTCTACTTCAATTGATATTTGTTGTTGACAAAACAATATCATCACCCAAAAATGCCTTTGCTTTTGTTTCTATTGAAGGAGGAAAGGAAAGACCCCACAAACATGGCAAGGAATGCCGCAGAAAGAACACCAGAAGCAATAATTCCACGAACATAAAACTTGGTAATTGTGCTCCTCGTTGGATCATGCTTTGAGATGCTAGAACCATCAAATATTTGGTCAAATAACCTCTTGAACTCAATGGATACTGCAAAACCAGCACCAATACCTGTGGCCAGAAGCCCACTAATCACCTGCAATTTCAAAAATCATTCAATGAATTCACTTTTGGATATATATATATTGCATATAAAACATATAGTTGCATGTTACATTTTACACCTATTTTTCATACACATGCTGTATATCTTGGTTAATCATACGAAAAAAATATGATTAATTTCATTGAGCAGATAATTTCGTTCGATTCAAGTTGTAAAATATAGTTAATTTATATATATAAATTAACCATATTCCACAAATTCGACTGTGAATTGATATAATCATCTGCTCAAATAAATTAATCAGATTCTTACACGTAATGTAAGAAGAACGAGTGTACATAAAATATTTTCCTACATTTTATTATTGTTTTTTCATAACTTATACTCGAGATAGTCTTATCCAAATTGTGTTTGACAAGACTAGAGTTCAAATCGAGTTAAACCTAATAGTGAACAAACCGATTTTCAATTTGTAACTATTTAGGCCGATTTTTCAAAGGATTGTCATAATTTTTTTTCTTTTCTTTTGGTTTTCCTTTTCCATAGTTTTTCGTCATACATAAAATAATATAAGGTGAGGACCTTGTCTCCATAGAAGTCAAATTCTGGCAAGAATCCATTACGTATCAACCTCTTCTGTTGTACAACATGGTAAATAGAAAATGGTAGCTGCACTATACAATATGCACCAGCAATTGATGCAACAGCAACAACATACCTGCAGAATTTTGATATATTAAGTAATAATCATAAACATGGTAACAAATTCTAACTAGCACCAACACTTCAGATAGAAAACGTGTTCAATACTCTATTCGACACGACACTGATACATGTAATTATATCAATAACAGGTTAGATGCTTTTTTTCTTTTACCTGAATGCTATTAAATCTTGAAATTTCATCTTCGTATCATCAATTTTTGCAATGTCGGTAACAATTAAGGCCACGGTTGTGACTGAGGCTGCAAGTGTTATTATTCTCAGAAAAAGCATTGAGTTGATAACAGCTTTTGACACCATTTTTACTTCAAAAGAATTATTCTGTAATTAATTATGTCTCTTGTTATATTATGTGACCAATATGAACCTTTTTATACACAAAATTAAGAAATAAGATATTGTATTTTTCTTTGTCCTTCAACGTTAGATCCAATGGCATTTGTCTTTAAGAGTTTTAAGTTAAGAGTAATGCTAATATAACTTTGATAATATTTTTATAAACTAATAATAGGAAAATTTCTTTAGTTTTTGTGGCATTAGGTGTCCTTAATTTGGATTTGTCTTTTGTAGGACTCTAAACTTTGTAACTGACAATGGCCTAAGTTTTCACCTTAAATTATCTAATTTTATCTGCAATGGCCGGCTTCAATCTTTGAGTTAAAATATAGAATAGCTTTTTATAAAATTCCATGGTTAGCTCCATACATAGATTCTTGACTGGGTTTAATATATTGAAGAAACAAGTGTCCATCTGTCTACGTGGACTATTTCAATGAACAAAACAAGAGGTATATTGTGGATCACAATTTACAAAAGGATGACATTTCTTGTACGAAAATCACGATGTAATTTTATTAATATTATCTATGAAAGTTTGTATTTTGGAAGCATTAATTCAACCAGGAAAGTATTGTTGCGATTGTAGTTCATTGCTCGAAGCAAATTGATCAATAGAAACAAGGTCGAGTCGATTAGCCTAGTGTGTATATCAAATTTGTGTGTGTCGAATTGTCAAAGGAGTTGCTTCGATAGGATTTCGACTTATACCTATTTTTGTAGCTAACATAATTAAACATTTTAGACTTTTGTGTTTTGGGCTTTGACTTAGGGAGCAAGCAAACTTATTAAAACTATAAATAGAGAGTAACCCCTTATTATTGTATTACATTGAAGACTTGCAGTTGCAAAGAATAAAATCACAGTTTGTGAGCAGAGATATACTCTACAAAAAATCTCTCTTCCCCTATTTTTCGTTAAACCTTAACTTTCATTTCTTCCCCAATTCATCTTTTCTTTCTTCATCTTTTATTTTCTGTGTAGCGAGAATCATCTTGCAATCAAGGTTAGTTTATTCACTTGAGTGAAGAGTGAAGAACAAGAAGAAATTTGATCGGTTGATTGAATCTTGTTCATCAAGACTCATTCAAAATTCTTCATAGATTTGGTGCAATTCCAACATCTGGTATCACAGCCTGGTTGATCGATTCGTGGGAAGCGAAACTTGATTGTAATGAATCATCCGAAAAGGTATTTTCTGGCGAGTTTCTCATTTTTGAAGGGTCAGAATTATGAGAATTGGTGTAAACAGATGAAGATTATTTTATGTTATCGAAATTTTTGAGATCTTGTAAAAGAAGGAGTAACACCACTTGAAGATGACGAGACAAGTGAAGAAAAGGCTGCACACAAAGAATTGAAGAAGAATTATAAAGCTCTATTTTTAATTCACCAATGCATTGATCCAGATAATTTTGAAAAATTGAGTGATGTTGAATCAGCGAAAGAAGCTTAAGAAATTCTGGAGAAATTGTTTGGAGGCGTTGAAAAGATAAAATATGTGATGTTACTGTTAGGTTTTGTTGTGTTGGCTGTATTTTGTTAAATCAAGTATTTCATCAAGATGTCCTGATATGTTGGTACGATATCGTAGCTCAAGATTTATTTTACAATTGTGAAGATTTATTTGTAACGCAAGATCTTTGTAGATTTGATTTGTGTTTTGTATGGTCCAAGCTACACATATGAATATTTAATTCTCTGAAGATATGTTTCAAGTAAAAGATCTTATCTGATTAGGTTTGTTTCTCAAGATTGAATGTTGTGATATTTAAGGAAATATTATATTTGCACTAGAAGATTTGATTTGATTTGTAGATTGTTTTAGTCATATTTAAACTTAAAGTCCAACCTTTTTCTCTGGATATAAAAAGAAAGACTCAAAACCTAAAGAAGATAGAAGACACAAGTGTGAGAATCTTCATTAGGATTTAGTTTGTTCTTTGTTATTTGTAAGTCACTCTTGTATCTCTTTGAAGCTTGAGTTGGACTGAGTTTTGAGTTGTAATTGTGAATCACTTATAAGCTTTTAACCAAGAGTAGATTATGTTTCATTGAAAGTGTGTCTTCTTTTTTAGTTATTGTTGTTATCACTATTGTGTGATTGAAGAGAAGTGAGAGGGGTTGTTAGACGACGATGTCTTATCTAAAGGGGGTGAATAGATCACCAAGCCAAAAATTCATATAAAATCTGGTTTTAAAATTGTTTAATAAAAGAGTGCAAGCGGAAGGTTTTCTAAAATATGTCGTCTATATGTATCGTGTTATTGGAAGTCGGATGTGTAAATATAAAATTGATTGTGAAATGAATACAATAATCTGAATTAATTATACTTCAATCAAGTAACAATTTATCAATCGTTTATAGCATATTACTAACAATACTATTTCCAATGATAACAATCAAAAGAATAAACTGAATAATTTGTCAAACACTTAGTGTGCAGCTGAATTTTCCTTTGAATTGAATGAACTAAACAATTTGTCGAACACTTGGTGTGCAACCGCATTTTCTGAATTTTCCTGTGAGTTATGTTGATATGAAAAAACACTTATAATCAAAACTAATTATAAGAAAACCAACACTCAATTCAAAACAAAAACAATTATGAAAAAAATTCCTACGAGTCGATCGATTATGAAATTCTATTTTACAAATTGATGTATGAAAATTAAAGAAAGTAAAGCGATAAAAGAAAATAGACGCACCGATTTTTCTTCACAGTTCCCCACTTTCATCCTCGCGTGTGGGTACGTCTGCGCCTAATTCCAATGGAATTATGATAATTCTTACTATGCAAAAGTTTGATACAAGATAAATGTTCAAAGAGAAACTCCAAAAACCCTAACATTTGTTGTTGGTTCAACCCCTTCTCTTCCTTTGATCTTGAGAAAGACCAAGACACAATAGCTGCAAATTGATTATCTAGATCTTGCTACTCCTTTGCATACTTTATCTCAAACGCTTTCGCGCACCATCAATTTCAATTATTTTAACACAAGACTTCTATTTGATTCTCAGTTCTTGCACAAAGGATTTCACTAGGCTGCAATCCTCTCTTCAAAGTCTTGCACGAAAACTCCTAAATAAACCAATGCTCTTGGAGAAAAAACCATCGGTTTTTCTAGATGAAGACCTCTGCAAATCTCAACCCAATATTCTCGGCTACATAGGAACCTAATTGGACGTTGTCGAACCTCGTCTAGATGGAACCCAAATAAAAGATTTTTATGATGATTTGTTAGTGTGTATGCACTGGTTGGAGGTTGAAGGTGAAGAGAAATTGCAAGAAATTTTTATGGTATCATTAAGTTAGAATGATGCATGAAAGATGTATTTATAGTTATGGAAGTTTTGTCACAAAAGAAGTAAATTTGGAATTAAAAGAAAATAGAAAATTTGACTCATGAAACAGTATGAGTCGGCCTGTAATTTGCATGTGCCGGCTCATAGTGTTAAATTTACCAACATGAGCCGACCTGGAATGAATTATGAGTCGTCTTGATATTGGAAGAAGAAAAACTGGTTATTTAAGATAGTACATGAGTCGACCTGACCAACACAGATACAAAACTGCTTATTTAGAGCAGTACATGAGCCGACCTAAAAGGCTGCATAAGCCGACTTGTATAGGCATATGTAGTTCAGAAAATGATTTTTCAATACTGGGATAGTTTTGACTATGTTTCAAATGATTCCTAAAACTTCTAAATGCATATTATGCCACGCAAACTCAAAGATACCTCCCAATATATAGATATGATATATTCTTATAGTTTTGACATCATGCAAAACAGATCTAGAGGCAAGTTGCACTCATATACTCCTCCTTTTTAATGATGGAAAAACTGCGACGATGAAATTTCGGGTTCATTTGACACTTCCCCTGACTATGTGCTTCTAAGCTTCATCTTGCATATCCTTCTCCTCCTTTGACAATATCAAAAAGAGAACATGCATACCATTAAAAGTATCAAAGTTTTCCATAACAACCAATATATCATACAAAGGCCTTTTTACAAAATAAGAGTGTGCACTCACATACACCCATATATATGGAATGACACTAGATTTAAGATAAAATAGATAGGAGAAATTTGCAAATCACATCATCTAACAATACATAAAAGACAAAAATGCCCCAATATTTCTTACAACATAAAAGATAAATTGTTCAACAAAATATAAAAGACAATGATATAAAATGCATGGACTAAAGGGAAATAACAACACAATAATTCATGACATCAGCGACCACCATATCCACCATCACGCCTCTGACACTACGCCAAAAGTGAGTTTTAACAGCGCACAGACATCGCTTTTGTACAAAAGCGCTGCTATAAGTGAATTAAAAAAAACACGGAAAACGTATAAAATAATTAGTAAAAGCGCTGCTAAACATATGACCTTAGACAGTGCTTTTAAAAAGCGCTGCTAAAGGATTGCTTTAGAAAGCACTTTATCATAAGCGCTGGTAAAGGGCCACTTTAGACAACACTTTAAGAAAGCGCTGTCTAAAGTCATACAAAATTAAAAAAAATAGAAAAGCGCTGCTAAAGGTCACTATTAGCCAGCGCTTTTCAAAAGCGCTGTCTAAGGTCCATATTAGCCAGCGCTTTTAGAAAGCGCTGTCTAAACCCTTATAAGTCAGAATTAAAAAAATAGAATCTTTGTATTCACAGTATCACGAAAACAGAAGCTTAAGCTAGAAACCCTTTCCCTCACGAAACCCATTTCCTTCTCCATATCAAATCGTCCTCCACCGTTCGTCATCGTACCGTCCTCCACCGTCTCGCTCCGATGTCCTCCACCCACACCGGCCGGTTTTCAAGGTATGTTCTTTATTGAAAATGTGTTTAACTCCATTGATGTCCAAACTGAGTTATCATCCTTGAAAATGTGTTAATATCCATTGATGTCCAAATGTGTTTATCTCCTATTGATGTCTAAACTGGGTTAT